GAAGCCTTCTCAGAATAATGTTTTTAGATTCTTAAATTAAAATGTATAGGATTATGGAGGAAACTATATGGAAAACACTTATTAAAATATTTTTATAAAACAAGGTCACAGAATCCAGGTTAAGAACCCCTGGATCAAATGAGCTTTAAGATTCTTTTAGCTTTCATATTTCCTGGAATAGGTGACCAACATTAAACCATTATCATCCCAGTGACAGCTGCTGGCCTTTATCTATACAGCATTTTGAATGACCTTCTTCTGCCTACCTGGACTAGCTTCACTTGTGTGCCTGTCTGGGAATTCCACTTTGGGTTCCTTGCTAGGAATGGGGGCTGGGCATCAAATGAGGGGCTGTTTCTCTAGCTATGGTAGAGGGCCTGTAGTCTGTTTTCTCCTCTCACTTTCCACTTATAGATTAGAACTGGGTAGCCTGCCCTCAGGAAAAAGGTTCTTGATCCAGATCTTTAAATAAGTAAACAAAAAAACAGGATCATTTTACCTCAATACCATCTTGGGCCCCTTCTTCCCTTGTCAGTCTTCTTACCCCCTCAACATGTATTGTGTGACTCCAATGGCTCCCTCTCACCTGCAGGATCAAATGGGAAATCCTCTGGCATTCAAAACCCTTCAGAATCTAGCCCCCTCTTCTTACACCTTACTCCCTGCCTTGTACTCTTTGATTCAGTGACAATGGACTTTTTTTTTTTGGACACTGGACTTTTTATACTTCTCTGAGCAAGACTTCTCAGTTTGGGGCATTTTCTCTGGCTCTCTCTCATGCCTGGAATGCTCTCCCTCCTTATCTCTGCCTCCTGGCTTCCTTCAAGCCTCAACTAAAATCCCATCTCTACAGGAAGCTTTGCCCAATCCCCTTAATTCTGGTGCCTTCCCTCTATAAATTATTTCCTATTTATCCTGTATGTGGCTTGTTTGTACGTATTTATTTTTTTTCTCCCCTGTTAGTCTGTGAGCACCTTGAGGGTAGGGATTGTCTTTTGCTTTTTTATATCTTCAGCTCCTAGCACAGGGCCTGCCTGGCACATAGTGGAGACCTAATAAATCTTTATTGATTGGTAGATCTGGAACTACTTTGTCTGTTGTCTTCTAGAATAATGGTACTAGCACTTATAAAGGGCATTAATTTACTTGTGTTAACTCATCTTATCCTTAGGATAACCCTGGGAGGTAGATGCTCTTATTATCCCCATTGTACAGATGAGGAAACTGGAGCAGACAGAAGTTAAGTGACTTGTGCTGGGTCACACAGCTGGTAAATATTTGAAATGGAATTTAAGCTCATGTCTTCCTAATTCCAATAGTATTCACTGCACTCTAGCTGCCTAGAAAGGTGTTGGATGAACAGCCAGACAGACAGAGAGACAGACAGATAGAAACAGGGCATGACTCCCCGGTGGGGAACTCTGGTTTCCCTAGGGCTCATGAAAGTAACTTAAGTGTGAAAAATCTGGGTTCTAGTCTCAGTTCTTCCACTGCTTGGCCCATAGCAAGTCACATAAGCACTTTAGGACTCTGTTTCCATACCAATATAATGGGGATGATGGCCCCCTAGTCCTTTATTACCAAGGCTGTCAGGGACGTGGATTAATGCCATTGCAGAGCCTAGGAGATTAGAATCCGCAGGAGGGAGTTTACAATCCATTTTGGCTCTCTGGTGACAGGGACGAGTATACTCTTGGTGATGGCCAGGTAAATCTCTGGATGGATCCTCCCTTCAGTGGGGTTCTGCTTTCTCTGCCTGATCCCTCTTCTGTCAGGCAGTCAGACCCCCATCATGGGCTAGTGGCCCTTCTTCACTCCTGCCCAGTCCCCCAAGTCCACTCTAGTCTGCCTTCGCCCCAGGAACTGGGTAGGTTTTTAAGTGCCTACAGTTAAGGGATGTGAAGATAATCTTGAGCACATTTTAAAAGGTTCTTTCTCTAGAACAGTATCTTTCTTGGGCATCACTCCTAGTTTTGGACCAATGTCATGCTGACCAAACCCTTGGCTTGGCGCTCAACTATAACCCAGAGTGGCCAGTGTCTCTCAGTTCCAGTCCTTGGCATCTCCCTATGACTTTGACTCTGTCCTAATGTCACCCCTTGACCCAGCATCCTATGCTCTGGGGAATGTCTCAGACACACTCCTAAAATATTGGAATCGTAGAAAAGTGTCAGAATTTCTGAGCAGGAAGGACCCTTAGAGGTCATCTGAACCAGTCAATCAATCAATGAACATGTATTAAGTGCCCCCTATGTGCCTTGGAAGGGAAGATCAGGGAGAGCTGCTTCCCACACGTGCTGGCTGTGTGATTCTGGCTAAGTCCCTGAATCCCTCCAGTGGCCCTGGGTAATTTTCTAATACCATAAGTTGCAGGGCAGGTGCTGATGTGCATTGTTAAAGTTTTTTTATCTAGGAATTCTCTATACCAAGGAAATCATAGAGGGGCGTGTGGGGGTGTGTGTGTGTGTGTTTTAATTAATGTGAACAAATATGTACTAAGCAGTTACATTGTGTTCAACCTTGAATTGGCCATTATCCCTAACCAAAGAAGAGACAAGTCTTTGTTCTTGAGGTGCTTCCAATTTAATTGGTAGAGGTCTCCATGTGTAGTTCTTAGAGAATGATACAAGACACAATGTAATTGAGCACAAGTGTTTTAATTGGATCTATGGCTTTTTACACAGCTCAAGAACATGTCTGCCAATTTCAGAAAGCCAGGCCCATTTTGACAAAGGCTTTTGTCCTTTGATCCCCAGGTATCTGAGAGTGACTTAGAGGTGTAGGAGAAAAGGGAAACAGACTTCTGACATTCTGGGGAGGCTGCTCTGGGTTTCTCTGGCGCCTTTTGTCAGGCCTGCATGGCAATAGTGATGGAGGGTGAGTGGGTGATCACAGGGGTCGTCTCTACCCATTGGCAACCTCATTCAAGGGCCTGAGGAGTATCAGCCTCCATTCTGCCACCTGCCACCAGCTGAGAACTCGTGCTATGTTTTCCAGAGAGAGATTTCCCCTGGTGGTGATGGGAAATATGCTACCCCATCCCCCCACCCTGGTAGCTTATGTGTGTGGGGGTGGGGGGGAGCAGAGGGTGAGTGATCAGAGCATGCGTGTGGGTCTGTACCAGCTGCTAGTACCATATGGACACCACCTACCAGTGGTATCAATCTTCTCATTGGAGCTCTCCGGCTGCAGAACCCTGAAGGAATGTGAGGGGATTATTAAAGAGAGAGAAAGGAGAAAGTCATTACCTTCTATAAATGCCTTTGTGGTCTAGGGAAGTGGTCTTCAAAGTAGAGGCCATGATTTAACCCCGAGGAATTTGTGAGGGTGGGAAGATGGGTTGCAGCCCACCCTTCCTGCAACAGCCTACCATGGAGCTTGTCTACAATACAGCTATATTCCTACCTTCACTTGTTACAGTCCAGTGCTCCCCCACCCTCTCCCCTCCAGCATCTTTGCAAGCTCCCAACCTTCTTAAGGCAGGCATTGGCTCTTCGGGGCAGTTATAGTCTCTGTTCTCTCACAGCAGTATGCAGATGCCGTTGGGAAAGTCACCCTCCCAACCCTATCCCAGCATATCTACTAGGGGAATAACAATGATAATGATAAAACTATTATTACTGATAGGGGGTTTAAAATTATTTTTTTTCTCTTTTGCTTCTAAATCTAGGATTTAGTGATAAGAACGTATTGGTTTAGAGGAGTCGAGACTTGGGTTCCAGTCCCAGCTCTATCACTAACTAGCTGTCCAACTTGGATAAGCTGCTCTTTGTGCCTCCATTTCTTCTATTGTCCAAGTTTTGCCTCACTTATCTCCCAGAGTTGCTATGAGGTTAAAATGAAATAACAGATACAAAAGCACTTTGTATAATGAAAAGTAGATAATATACAAAGGCCAGGTGGTATGAGAATCCTAGGATTGATCCCAGAGCTAGAAAGGATCTTAGAGCACCGAATGGCAGAACTGGAAGAGAACTTAGACATAGGAACACAAAAGGAGCTTGGAGGGAGGAAGCTTAGAATACAAAACCTGGAACATGGGACCTGGGAGGGACCTTAAGACATAGGATGTCAGAATTGAGAAGGAGGTTAGAGTATAGAATGTTCAAGCTGAAAGAATGTCTGAGTTCATCTCGGTTAATCCCTTCATTTTAGAAATTGGAAAACTGAGGAACACATGAGGGATGCCTAAATTGTTGGAGGTTGTAGAGATAGCAAGTAGCAGATCCAAGACAAGAAGCTAAGGTTCGTGATCCAACCATTCTGGAGAGCTATTTGGAACTATGCCCAAAGGGCTGCAAAAACGTGTATACCCTTTGACCCAGCAACAGCACTTCTAGCACTGTATCCCAAAGAGATCATACAAATGGGAAAAGGACACACATGTACAAAAATATTTATAGCAGCTCCTTCTGTGGTGGCAAAGAATTGGAAATTGAGGGGATGCCCATCAATTGGGGAATGGCTGGACAAGTTGTGGCATATGAATGTAATGGAATACTATTGTGCTGTAAGAAATGATGAACAGGCTGACTTCAGAAAAACCTGGGAAGACTTATATGGTCTGATGCTGAGTGAAGTGAGCAGAACCAGGAGAATGTTGTACACATTAATAGCCATGTTGTGTGATAACTAACTTTGATAGACTTAGCTCTTCTCAGCAATGCAAGGATCTAAGACATCTCCAAAAGTCTCCTGATAGAAGATGTTATCCATATCCAGAGAAAAAACTATGGAGTTTGAATGCAGATCGAAGCATACTATATGTTCTTCCCCCCCCCCCTTCTGTTTTGTTTTGTTTTCTCTTTCTTGTGGTTCTTCCTATTGGTTCTAATTCTTCCTTAAAATTGACCAATGTGAAAATTAAAAAAAAAAAGAAGCTAGAGTTCAGGCCACTTGTTATCATATATGCTGTTTCTCAGGTGCTGGGGATATGGGGTTCCTTACTGGAGGGTAATGTAAGGGTCTTGTTCATCACCTTTCTCACCTTCCTTCCTCAGGTATAAAGGCTTCATCAAGGATTGTCCCAGTGGCCAGTTGGATGCTGCAGGATTCCAGAAGATCTACAAACAGTTCTTCCCCTTTGGTGACCCCACCAAGTTTGCTACGTTTGTTTTCAATGTCTTTGATGAAAACAAAGTGAGTTAGTGATTGATGGTGCTATGCCAGCCCCCAAGGTCCCAGGAGCCACCTCCCCCTCACCACCAGGCTCTGAAGCTTCATCTCCTCCTAAAATGCTAACTCAACACCCACTCTCTCACTGCTAACTTGCCTTAGTGGGGAAGACACACATATACACACACAACCACCCCTGAACTTTCCCTTCTCTGGGTATGAAAGGCAGATAGATGTAGGCATGAAGTAAGGAAAAACTTCCTAACAATTAGAGCTATCGAAAAGTGGAATAGGTTGCCTCATGAGGTGGTGAGTTCCCCTAATTTGGGTCTTCAAGCAAAGGCTAGATGACTACTTGTTGGGGATGTTGCAGAGGAAATTTCTGTTTGAGGATAGACCTGACTAGATGGATTGGAATGCAAGCCTTCCTTGCTCCAGATTCCCCATGTTTGCCTCTGGTTCTTTTCTTTCCCAGAGTCCCCTTTTTATTTCATAATCCTTTCTCCTCTCCTGTCATATTTTTTTTATTGAGTCCTGGGCCTCAGTGCCATTCTGTCCTTTTCCATTTTTACCGGTGCCCCTCTGCTGGGCCTTACTGGATCATGGAGTCCTTTGAGGACTCTCAGCCTGTGCCTAGGGGCTAGGCTTGTCAGGCAGTGACCCAAGAGCAGCTCACCATTCCTGGCCATGGCCATTACTCACAGCTCTGACAGATCATTGAGGGATTCTTTCCTAGCACTTATACGTGACTAAGAGTCAGGTGGGTCAGGGTTCTAGGCCTAGCTCTGTGATCAGTTGGCTGTGTGACCTTTTCCCTTTCTGAGCTTCAGTATTCCCATTTGTAAAATGGTGGAGTTGGATTAGATTATCTGTATTTTGTTGTTGTTGTTCAGTCATTTTTCAGTCATGTCCAACTCTTTTTGACCCCATTTGGATTTTTCTAAGCAAAGATACTGAAGTGATTTGCCATTTCCTTCTCCAGCTCATTTTACAGGTGAGGAAATGGAGGCAAACAGGGTTAAGTGACTTACCCAAGGTCACACAGCTAATAAGTAAGTGTCTGAGGCCAGATTTGAACTCAGGAAGACCAGGCCAGTACTCTATTCACTTCACTGCCTACCTGCCCAGATTATCTCTAAATGCTTTTCTAAATCTAAGATTCTGTAATTCTAAGCTGAGGGAGATTACTATATGTTACTCTCCCATGGTGACTGGGATGTCTGAATGCATATTCATCCCATCACACTCATTCACTCTTTCTTCAGCTTCTTCTCCCTTCATCCTTTTATTTCTTTTCTTCTCTCCTCTTTCTCTTCTTTCTCTCCCAAACTCTCCCTTTCTCGATCTTCCCTCCATCAGACTGAGAAAGCTCAACTGATGAATGTGTAATGCCTTCTCTTGTCAGGATGGGAGGATAGAGTTCTCGGAGTTCATCCAGGCACTCTCGGTGACCTCTCGGGGGACCCTGGATGAGAAGCTAAGATGTAAGTTCCTTTTCTATCAGTTAATCCTTTATTTGGGGACCTTTCGATGTGTACATGTCTGTGCTGGCTACCAAGGGGGAATATTGAGAAGAATAGACGAATTCAGGTCTTCACAGAGCATACCGTGTATAAGACTTATACACCTGAAAGAGAGATAAGACTTATACACCTGAAAAGACAATGGACAACTTCTGTACCAAATGCCATTGAATAATTCGACAGCAAAGTATTATATGTTGAGTTGAGAGTAGGGGGACATCCCTAGGGGCTGGACTGGCCAAGGCTTATTGGAGAAGCTTAAGTAAGTCCAGAGGCATGGAAGGATTTTGATAGCTAGAGAACAGAGGGCCTTCCAGGCTAAAGGACCCAAAAGAAGGGCAAGTTGAATCCCCTGGCTATAAGAGGCTGCTAAGTAGTATAGCAGATAGAATTAGGAAGACCCAGATTCAAATCCCTCTGCTGACACATACTCATTCAGTGACTCTGGCTAACTCACTTAATCTCCCCAAGTCTCAGTTTCTTCATCTGTAGTATGAGGCAATTGGACTTGATGACCTTCAAGGTTCTTCCTAGCTCTAAATATTATCTTATGATCTCTGGGAGAACAGCTAGTATCCCATACATCATCTGGGTATTGCATCCTAGGGTACCCTCAAAGGAGAAAGTGAGATTGGGAGCCAGGTCTGACTTCAGGTGCTGCTCCTGACACTGACAGGCTGGGTGATTCAGCATGAGTCCCACTCAGTTCTCCCAGGGATCAGTTTCCCTGTCTTCAAGATGGGGAATAAATGGGCTCTCTCCCCACCTTTATCTCTCTGACTTGGGTGGGGGCAAGGGGAATTGGTTATATATTCAACTTGCTTCCACTTTTGCTAGAGAGAAGGGATGAGAAAGATCCTAGGGATGATGAACAGTGTCTCCAATTTCAGGGGCATTCAAGCTATACGACTTGGATAATGATGGCTACATCACAAGGAATGAGATGCTGGACATTGTAGATGCCATTTACCAGATGGTGGTAAGGAGGGTTTGGCCATGGGATGGGTGGGTAGGGCATGTAGGTGATGAGAAGGCCAAGGAGACGATTTAGAGAAGGGATGGATTTTGTTCACATAATAAGTGATATCTTGTATGGGGAGACTTTCAAACTGTCTGTAATTGTTATGTGATTCACCATCTGGAGAGGTAGAAGCCAAAGATCTCCCTGGAGGTGGAGAAACTTGGTTGGGGGAGGGTATAGTCCAGAAAATGTGTGTTGTGTATGTGTATCCAAAAATAAGAATAGTGGGGGTAGATACCGAGCTGGGAGAGGGGAATACTGGCATAGTGGGTACCCTGGAGCTGGGCGGAGGTGGTGTGATGTGGGAAAGATAGCACTGAATTCAAAGGCAGAAGACTTGCCCCCCCTTGCTCGTTGACCTTGGGTAAGTGATGCTTCCCCAGCTGGTCTCTGTTTTGCCCAGGTGAGGGTTGGATTACATGGTCTCTAAGGTTGCATGGGGCTCCATGACTCGGGTGCTCAGCTGGAAAAGAAGTTAATGGCATCTCTTGCTGCTTAGCCAGAACTGTAAAGAAAAACTTGGATACAGCCAAGGCAGGGCGGGGTCAGTGGACAATATTTAGCCCTTCTGTGCTTATCTCTTTCCTGTTAGGGTAACACTGTGGAGCTTCCAGAGGAGGAGAACACCCCAGAAAAGAGGGTGGATCGGATCTTTGCCATGATGGACAAGGTGAGATGGTTGAGGTGGGAGATTGCATCCTCTTCAATCCTTTGGGCGCCTGGAGAAGAGTTTTACTCCAGGTCAGGGAGGAGGATGGGAAAAACAGTAACATTCAACTGAAGACTTGGGTCATGCACTGACAGAATTCAGTGTGTCCTTGTTGGGGGGAAGTGGCCAAAGCAAGGTATTAAGGAAAGAGGGAGGACATCATCTGTATTTGCCTACCTCTTAGCATATTCCCCCTGAATTATGTGTCCAAAGCAACTCCGAGTTCTGTAGATTTCGAGCTAGAGGGGATTGCAGTGTGCATGTTATTTAACCCCTTCAGTTTATAGCTGAAGAAACTGAGACTTAGAAAGAATTGACCAGAATCACAAAGGTGGTAAGTAGTGAAGCCAGGAGGTTGGAGGGCAGCTAGGTGACCCCATAGTACACAGAGTACTGGGCCTGGAATCAAGAAGACTCGTCTTCCTGACTTCAAATCTGCCCTCAGATACTCACTAGCTGTGTGACCCTAGGCAAGCCACTTAACCCTGTTTGCCTCAGTTTTCTCATCTGTGAAATGAGCTGGAGAAGGAAATTGCACACCACTCCAGTATCTCTGCCAAGAAAATTCCAGGGGCAGCTAGGTGGCACAGTGGATAGAGCACTGGCCCTGGATTCAGGAAGACCTGAGTTCAAATCCAGCCTTAGACACATAACACTTACTAGCTGTGTGACTCTGGGCAAGTCACTTAACCCCCATTGCCCAACAAAAAAAAAAGGAAATTCCAAATGGTGTCATGAAGAGTCAGACATGACTGAAATGACTGCATAACAACAACAGTGGAGTCAGGATTTGAACACAGGTCTCCTAAGTCTGAACCAAGACTCATTTTTCTTCTACTATGATCCCCTTCTTCTCCCTTCTCTCTCCCTTGCATTTCCTCTCCTACCTTACAACCACCAGTGACCCCAAGCTCCTGCATCTCGAGCCTGACCTCATGATTTATTAGGAAGAACACCAGAATGGAAGTCAGGAGATCTTGGTCCCAGTTCCAGCTTTACCACTAGCCCTGTGACTGGCCTTCAGCTGGCTTCTTTTCTCTGAGTCATTGGAGTTTCCCCCCCTGTAAAGTAAACAGGTTGGATTGTTTCAGCTTTAATATTCTCTGGATTGATGAGTTGATGAGAGCAGGGAAAACCACAGGGCTGGGAATAGCAGACCAATATAGCTCCCTCTGTGGATTAGCCACAGAAAACTTCTGTTACTATCCTGTCTTCCCCTCTTCTCCTTCTCCCTCCCCATCCTCCAGGGCAGGTCTGAGTACCACCTACTCACCATCAGGTTTAGGGAATGCAAATTCATGTCCAGGAAACAGAATCTACCAGGAAAAGATAATCACCTAAAACATCCATCCCCAAGCTGAATAGAAATGATTTGGATTTTAGCCATTGTTTGGAATTATTCAGTTCATTTATTTGTATGAAGAGTTAAGGGATGACTGACTTTTTCCATCTCTGAATGAACTAGTGTCTGAAGGAGCCTCTGACCCCTGATCTGAGACAAGCGGACCGGAGTATTAATCTGGTTGACAGATCCAAGACAAGTGATTCTTAATCTGAGGTCCATGAGTAGATTTCTGGCGGTCTGTGAACTTGGCTGGAAGAAAAAATTACATCTTTATTTTTTAAAATTAATCTCTAAATGCAATTTGGCATTTCCTTAAATTATTTAAAAACTTTATTCTGAGGAGTCCATAGGCTTCACTAGAATGCCAAAGGGTCCATGACATAGAAAAAGCTGTGGACCCCTCCCCTAGACCCATCCCAGGTTGGGTAGTTGGAGTTGGGTGGGGCTTAGACATGGAAAACTCCAACCTCTTCATCTCTCCTTCCAGAATTCAGATGGAAAGCTGACACTGCAGGAGTTCCAGGAGGGCTCAAAGGCTGACCCTTCCATTGTCCAGGCACTGTCCCTCTACGATGGGCTTGTATAGTCCTAAGGCCAGAGCAGGGGTAAGTGTGGGCCATCTAGGCAACCTTATTCCAGGGGCCCAGGATCATTATGCACTGGAAAGAGAAGAACAAAAGCTCAGCCACAGATCATCTGGATCCTGATTCTTCCCCTGCTAGAAAGGAAACAAACACCCAAGACATTGTGGATTGAAGAGAGGTCAGGATGTTACTTATCTCATCTTTCAGTAATGAGTTTAATGCCTAGCAATAGCTAAGTTGCAAAGGCCTCCTTCCCAGCTCACATGAGTATCATTATTTTCTTTTGATTATTCAGGTAGATATAATGTAAATTCAGTATAATAGTATTGTATAGTCACTTGCAATTGGGATAGATTTTTTTTCCTCTTTCTCTTCCTCTGTCCTTTAAAAAAAGAAGTTAATTTAATTTTTTTCAGTGAACAAAGCTCCATTTCTCTTCCTCCACCCCCTCACATATTGAAAAAAGGAAAAGAAACAACAAATATGTATGTATAGTCAAGCAAATAAAAAAATCCTGCATTAGTCATGTACTATTGTCCTATATATATGCACATAAATACATATATACACACACATACACATACACATAGATAGATAGATAAATAACAGCTAGGTGGCACAGTGGATAGAGTACCAGGCCTAAAGTTAGGAAGACTCATCTTCCTGAGTTCAGATCTGGCCTCATAGACTTACTAGTTGTGTGACCCTTAAGGGGTAAGTCACTTAACCTTTTTTGCCTCAGTTCCTCACCTGTAAAATGGGGACACACTGGAGAAGGAAATGGCAAACCACTCTAGTATGTCTGCCAAGAAAACCCCAAATGGGGTCACAAAGAGTTGGACGTGACTAAGACAACTGAACAACAAGAACAAATATGTACATATATACATACATACATACATATATTCTGTCCCCTTGAGTCTATCACCTGTGAGGTGGGTGGTGTCATGGTTTCTCTGGAGTTGTGGCTGGTCATTGAGTGTGTTAATTAGAATTTTGAGGTCTCTCAAAGTTATTTGTATTTGCAGTTTTGCTGTTACTCCATAAATTGTTGTCTTGGTTTCTTCCTTTTCTTTTTTTCTCTCCTTTTCATCTTCTTGTACTTTTTTCTCTTCTCCTTTTTCTGGCTCTTTCTTTAATTCTCATTTTCTTTTCACCTTTCTCTTCCTCTTTCCCTTATTTCTTTTCTTTCCCATCTTCCTATTCTATTTTTTCTTCCTAATTTCCTTTCCCTTCTTCACCTTCAGTTTCCTCTTCTCCATCCTTTTCTTTTCCTCTTCCTTTTCTTTCTCTACCTCTTTTCCCCCTCATTTCCCCCCCTTCTTTTTCTGCTTGCTCCCTTTTCATTTCTTTTTCTTCTTGACCTCTTCTTTGACCTTTTCCATCACCATCATAATCCATTGACACATATTTCTAGTTAGAAATACACAACAGAAGGCTCTGCAGGTTATTTAATTTTGCACCCTGATAATAGGGCAAAACAAGGCCTAATGAGTTTTTGGGTGGATTCCCCCTTTGAAAAGTCCACCAAGAACACTCTTAATAGATAGAACAAAAAAAGGGGACCTGGTGTGTTTGCAGAAAGGTCAAAAAGATAGGTGGGCAACAAGCTTTATTAAGCTCTTACTATGTGTCATACTCATAGTGCATCAGGGAAAACAAATGACAGTCTACAGATTGCTGCCCGGTACTCTATCAAACTCCCACTCCACTCTTTTCCAAGGAGAGACACAGACTGTAGAGTAAGTGAGATTAACATTTAGTCTAGCATCCTCTCCCTTCTCCCGTTCTTAAATCTAAATTCCCTATCTGGCAAGGCTATGCTTGTGTCCTGGCAAAGTACCACCTGTGTGCAGAATAAGCTGGGTTTTTTGATGATCTTATTGGAACCTGGGAAGCCTCCCCACCTCTCCTTCTAGAATCCTGTAGCTAGGAGGTTCCTCCAGGTTATTTGGTCCAACTTTATGCCTTTAAGGATCCCTATGTCCCCATGTGTAAACCACCCAGGACTACATGAATGAATGGAAGAATAAATTCATTCAAAAATATCTCTTGGAAAAAAAAGATAAAGAAAAAAATCTCTTGTATACTCCCCCTTCTCTCCTCTGACAGTGATACTACACTGATAGAAGTCCTCATCCCTTTATTTTAATTTTTTAAAAATCTTCATATTATTATATTATTTTGTATTACTTATAACCCAGATCTTGTCACTCAGAACATGAGTTCTTCCTTATGAGGAGTGGGGATTAGGGAAGATGAAGAACTGTATTTCTGAACCTGATCTCTGACTTGGGTTTGTATCTTCTTTTGAAATTCAGATCTTTTTTTATTTTTTTATTTTATTTTTTTAATATAAATTTATTTATTTTCAGTCTTCAATATTTACTTCCACAAGATTTTGAGTTCCAAATTTTCACTCCATCTTGCCCCTCTCCCCACCCCAAGATGGCATGCATTTTGAATACCCTTTCCCCTAGTCTGCCCTCTCTTCTATCTCTGTCCCCCCTTCTCTTATCCCCTTACCCTTCTATTTTCCTGTAGGGCAGGATAGACTTCTGTACCCCATTTCCTGTGTTTCTTATTTCCCAGTAGCATGTGAAAACATTTTTTTAAACATATGTTTTTAAAACTTTAGGTTTCAAATCTCCCTTCCTCCCTCCCCACCCATCCTCATTGAAAAGGCAAGCAACTCAATATAGGTTATACATGTGCAGTTATGCAAAATACTTCCATAGTAGACATGTTGTGAAAAACTAACTCTATTTCCCTTAATCCTATCCTGCCCCCCATTTATGCTATTCTTTCTTTTGACCCTGTCCCTTCTCATAAGTATGTGTTTCTGATTACCCCCTTTCCCAATCTGCCCTCCTCCCTATCATCCCCCTGCTTTGTCCCCTTCTCCCCCTATTTTCCTGTAGGGTAAGACAGATTTCCTTACCCAATTGAATGTGTATGTTATTCCCTCCTTAAACCAAATCCTATGAGAGTAAGATTCACTCATTCCCTCTCACCTTCCCCCATTTCCCCTTCACTGTAAGAGCATTTTCTTTTCTGTTTTTTTTTGTGAGACAATTTACCCTATTCTACCTCTCCCTTTCTTCTTCTCTGAATATAATCCTCTCTCATCCCTTAATTTTATTCTCCAGATATCAACCCTTAATCTTCAGCTCACCCTGTGCCCTCTATCTATCTATCTATCTACCTATACATACATATAATTTTTTTCCTCCAACTACCCTAATACTGACAAAGGTCTCATGAGTTATAAATATCATCTTTCCATGCAGGAATGTAAACAGTTCAACCTTAATAAGTCTCTTATGATTTCTCTTTCCTATTTACCTCTTCATGTTCCACTTGAGTCTTGTATTTGAAAGTCAAATTTTCTATTCATCTCTGGTCTTTTCATCAAGAATGCTTGAAAGTCCTCTATTTCACTGAATAACCATTTTTTCCCCTGAAGGATTATACTCAGTTTTGCTGGGTAGGTGATTCTTGGTTGTAATCCTATCTCCTTTGCCCTCCTGAATATTATATTCCATGCCCTGTGGTCCTTTAATGTAGAAGCTGCTAAATCTTGTGTTATCCTGATTGTGTTTCCACAGTACTTGAATTGTTTCTTTCTGGCAGCTTGTAATATTTTCTCCTTGACCTGGGAACTCTGGAATTTGGCTATAATATTCCTAGGAGTTTTCCTTTAGGGATCTCTTTCAGGAGGGGGATTGGTGGATTCTTTCAATTTCTATTTTGCTCTCTGGTTCTGCTGTATCAGGGCAGTTTTCCTTGATAATTTCTTGAAAGATGATGTCTAGGGTCTTTTTTTTGATCATGGCTTTCAGATAGTCCAATAATTTTTAAATTGTCTCTCTTAGATCTATTTTCCAGGTCAGTTGTTTTTCCAATGAGATATTTCACATTGTTTTCTAATTTTTCATTCTTTTGGATATGTTTTACAGTGTCTTGATTTCTCATAAAGTCACTAGCTTCCAATTGCTCTGTTCTAATTTTTAAGGAAGTATTTTCTTCAGTAATCTTTTGGACTTCCTTTTCCATTTGGCCAATTTTTCTTTTTAGGGCATTCATCTCCTCATTGGCTTTTTGGACCTCTTTTGCCATTTGGGTTAGGCTGTTTTTTAAGGTGTTATTTTCTTCAGCTTTTTTTTGGGTCTCCTTTAGTAAGCTGTTGACTTGTGTTTCATGATTTTCTTGCATCACTCTCATTTCTCTTCCCAGTTTTTCCTCTACTTCCCTTACTTGCTTCTCAAAATCCCTTTTGAGTTCTTCCAAGGTCTGGGACTGATTCTTATTTTTCTTGGAGGCTTTGGATGTAGGAGCTTTGACTTTGTTGTCTTCTTCTGGTTGTATATTTTGATCTTCTTTTTCACCAAAGTAAGATAATGTAGTCTGACTCTTTTTGTGCTGCTTGCTCATGATCCCAGCCAATTACTTGAGTTTTAAACTCTTTGTTAAGGTAAGAGTCTTCTTTCAGTGTGGAGAATGTACTGTTCCAAACTTCGGGGGTTTATATAGCTGTTTTTAGAGATACTTGTAGGGACCTGTAAATTTTCAGTTCTTTCAAGGTGGTATGATAAGGGGTGAGGTGTTTACTCCTTTGCTGGCCTGTGCTGTGGTCTATTAGTGACTACAAGCACTCCTTTGTGCCCTGGAACTGTGAGGAAGGTTTCCTGTCCACAGCCACTACAAGCTCCACCGTGCCAGTGCTCCTCCTCACCCCAGGACCCCAGTCCAGAACTGTGACCCAGATCCAAGCACGGGCAAAGCAAGAGATTCCTGCCTCAGCACCAGCAAAGAGATCCCTGCAGTCCCCCTCTGATCAGCCACTCGATTCCCCTTCAGTCTGTGGGCCGGAAGCTTGGGAAGCAGCTGCCCACCCCAGGGCCACGCTCTGTGCTCTCGGAGAACTGGAGCTGAGAACCCCGTTCCTCTCAGCACCGAAGAGACAGACTTTTCCCACTGACCTTCTAAGTTGTCTTTGGCATTTGTGGATTGAGGAGTCTGGAAGCCCCCACAGCTGCCCACGATTCAGTCCTCTGAGGCTTGCTCCAGGTTTGCTGTGGCCCACATGCCCACACCACGCTGCGCTCCTCTCCCAGCCCGGTGGGATATACCTTTCTGATCAATCATTCAGGTTGTCTTGAGCTGGAAATTTGTTTCACTCTGTCTTTTTGTGGGTTCTGCTGCTTCAGAATTTGTTTAGAGCCATTTTTATAGGTATTTGAGGGGTTTGGGGGAGAGCTCAAGCAAGTTGCTGCTTTCATTCCACCATCTTGGCTCCACCTCTCTCCTCATCACTTTATGTGTATATTATTGCAATGGCCTGCAGGTGTGTCTTCCTACCTTAAATCTCTCCCCACTCTGGTCCATCTATCACTCAGCTGCGAAATTCATCTTCCCAAAGTGCAGATCTACATTCCCTTTTCCTGTGGTTCCCTATCACCTCCAGGATCAAATATAACATCCCCTGTTTGGTATTCAAGCCCTTCACAACCTGGTCTCCTCCTCCCTTTCCAATTTTCCTACATCTTACTCTCTATCATGGATTCTTCCACCTAGTGACACTGTGATGCTGGCTTCTTGCTATTTTTGGAATAAGATATTCCACTTTTTGACTCTGGGAATTTTCACTGGCTATTCCCCATGCCTGAAATACTCTCCCTCCTCATTTCTACCTCCTGGCTATATTGCAAGTCCCAGCTAAAATTCCATCTTCTAAGGGAAGCCTTTCCTGATCTCCCTTAATACTAATCCTTTCCTCCTGTTGATTATTTCCAATCTATCCTGTATATATCTTGTTTATACATTTGTGTTTTCATGTAGCCTCTCCCATTTGGCTGAAGTCCTTGAGAGCAGAACTGTCTTTTGCCTTTCTTTGTATCCTCAGCACTTAGGTCAGCACCTGGAACATAGTAGGTGCTTAATAAATGCTTGTTGACTGAGCACTGAATGGATGAATGAAACAGTTAGTAAACATTTATTAAGTGCTACTAATTGCCAGGCACTGTGCTGATAAGTGCTAGAGATACAAAGAAGCGCAAAAAGCAGCTTCCTGCACAGTCTCATAGGGAAGACAACATGCAAACGACTACGTACAAACATGATATAGACAGGATAAGCTGAGCGTCCTCTCAGAGTGGGAAGGCACTAAGATTAAGGGGGACTTGGAAAGACTTCTTGAAGAAGGTGGGATTTTAGCTGAGACTTGAAGGAAGCCAGGGAAGCCAGAAAATGTCAATGAGAGGGAAGAGAGTCCCAGACATGGGAAAAAATATTCATTAAGTGCTTTCTATGTGCTAGGCACAAAGCTGAGAATACAAATACAAAAATGAGATGGTTCCCTGCCCTCAAGAAGTTTATATTCTGGGACAGCTAGGTGGTACAGTGGATAGAGCACCGGCCCTGGATTCAGGAGGACCTGAGTTCAAATGTGGCTTCAGATACATAACACTTCCTAGCTGTGTGACCCTGGGCAAGTCACTTAATCCCATTACCTAACCAAAAAAAAAAGTTTACATTCTAATGGGTAAGGTAGCACATATCGGGGAGTGGTAGTTAGAGAAATGAATCTTAGTCTTTGGGGTAACAGGGATGGGTGGTGAACTGACCTATAGGGCAACCAACCAACATGCCTTTTTAAAAATTAATTTTTTTTGTTGAGCAAAAATCAATTTTCTTTCTCTCCCTCACTACCCATATAACAAACATACATAGTCAAGCAAAGCAAATTCCCACATTGGCAATGTCCAAAAATACACTTGCCATGCCTTTTCTAGAAGCAGTGGTAATATTGAGTTGATTGCCACGCCCAGGACGGTTGGAGGAAAGCTGGAATGGATAGGACTGGGGTTGGCCCAGACCACAAGATGGCTCAGATGGGGTATCATAGATATGGTAGCACAGGTGAGTTTGCATTTACTACTTATAAATCAAGACAGGTCAGTCCCTGGGTATGAGTTCCAAAGCTGAATAGATTCACTGCCCCCCAGGGCCAGGGGTCATGATTTCAGGGCAACTTTGAGGCAAATAGGAGGATAATCCAAGTGGGTATCTAAATGGGAAGTGACGGCATAGGCTAGTTTGGGGCAAGCTAGATATAGCGGGCTAGGTGAGTTAGCAGGCCCTTACTCAACAATAGAATTAGTTTCTTCTCTTCCTAAAGGAGAGAGAGACACTCCAACCACCCTCAGCAGCCCATGATGCAACTAGGTGCCTTCTTAACCCTGTCTTCATTGCACTCTCCTTTTCAGATGCCTGCAGACTGCCTGCCTCCCTCTGTGCCATCAGACCACCTCAGTAATGAAGCTCGTCCACTTGTCTCTCTCTCTCCAGCCTTCCTTTACGCACAGCAGGGCTGCACACGAAATGTGAGGTCCCTTTCCCCCATTCCTTCTCACCCTCTGCATCCCCTTACTGTGCCCTGAAGTCACTGTCTCCATTTGCCAACTTCTGCTCGTCGGAGGAAAAACAGCGGCAATTACCTGCAGAACAAGGACACCTACTGCATCACAGAAGAGCCTCATTGTTTTCTCTCTCATGCCCATGCTTTTATTTTTTATTTAGAACAGACATTTTTAAAAATGCCCTTCTGTTCTAGAACATGTAGACTGAAAAATGATGATGGCCCTGGGTTACTCAGAAAATTCTCCAGCTTCCTTCCTACTGGTGGCTGGAAAGATTGTTGGGAAGATATGGCTTTGGTTCTTGGACTGGGCCAGATGTGTTTGGGAGATGATTGATGTTTTTTTGTCATCCAGTCCTTTTAGCAGCAGAACAACCTGCGTGGCTAGGATGATTTATTATTATTAATTTTTATCATTATTATTTTTCGTGATATCAGTATTGTGTTTTTTTTGTGGGAAAGTGAGTTTTTTTATACATATATATGATCAATATCTTTATTTATTGGTTGTTAACTGTTGCTGCTGTCTGGTATGTCTGAGCCCCAAGTGTCCAGGGGCAAAACGTTTACATGTGCACGCACGCCCCCATGCTCGCTCAGGAGGACGGTGGCCCACAGTGGCCAAGAAGCCAAAAATACTTTCCCAGATACTGTGCTTGGTTTTTGGACTGGGGTTAGGGATGAAATTCTTGAAAGGGGTTACATACCCGTCTCTCTTCCAGACGCTTGCTTCTCTGGGTTCCCTTGCTTCCTCACGGCTTCCTCCTTTCCCTTGTCCTCCTTCCTTTCTCCCCCCCTTCCCCCTTCCCCCCAGCATTCTTCTGCATGGCTCTCATGCTCATGCTCAGAAAGAGACCCCAGCTGCTTTTGCATTCAGATTTTCATTTGGCCTGGATGCCTTTTCTTGCTTCTTGCTTTTGTGTCTTGGGCAGAGTAGAGGAATTGAGTTTCTTGAAAGGTTGCACCAAAAAAGACTGTTTTGGGGAGAGAACTCAACGGATTCTTTTAGTGGAGAGCTTAGAGAAGGGGAAATCCACTGTATTCACAGAAGAGTGAACTGCTGCTGTTAGCCAAATCTTGAGTATCCCTCTCTCTTTTGGGAAGCTTGCAAATGATTCCCAAATCTTCCCACTTGTCATATTCCCTTCTCCCCCAATCCTTCCTTCCCCAAGGAAAGACACAGGAATTTAAGTATTTGTACCCCTTTGGCTCACACATAGTAGACACTTACCTAAATGTTTATTGAATTGAGTTTTCCTTGGGTCCAGTGGGTGAACAATTATAGGGAAAGAAGCTTGTTCAGAGAGATAGTTTCCTATCAATTTGACTCAATTGGACAATCATTTATTTAGCTCCTACTAAGTGAAAGGGTGGTAGGCCCTGAGAATATGAAGACAAAAACAAAACATTCCTGGCCCTCCAGGGGCTTACATTCTATGGTCTATCAGGCAGTAGCCTTGTATCTCTTTGGGGGGGAAGCTCTAACCTCTTCCTGGAAGTTGAGAAAAATAGCTAAACCACGATATTCTAGAAAATGTTGCCAAATCTTTTAGAGGGAAGGACAAACAGAAAACCAGCCAGAGAGTTCCATGGGTGATGCCATGTAACTTTCTGTTTCCTTTGATGTTTGATGAATGTCCTGCCATCTTGTTTTTCCTTCAAGTCTAAAAGAGGGAAGATAATGTGTGAGGCCTGGCTATTCACAGCTCTTAGCACTTTCCCTTAGCTAGATAATTGGGAAGTGTTATGACTGGCCTGTAGGGAGCATGCCTTATAAATTCAGTCCTATTACAGTGACAATTAATGTCAATCACCCAAGAATTAGCATCCTGGTCTTTGTGTTTTTATTCCCTTACTATCCCTGCTCTGACCTATTACCACAGAGTTGGCCTTGGAAACAGCTGGTACCCAGCATGACTTGGTTGACGTCTGCCCTTATCTGAAACCCTAGTCCCCACTGTGGGCAGATAACCTTGGACATTTTGTGGGCCACATCCCTCTCTCCTTCTCCATAGTTCCTTGTCCCTTCTGCGCTTCTCTGACAAAGATCTCTCTTCTGGGGAAGGGGCATTCTGGACTTTGTGACTGCTCACCCTATCTAAACACTCTGCTATGTCTTCCTTTTGATATCTAGAGTTTTCAAACCCACATAAGGCTCAAACCCAAAGCTTCTCCTACAGCCACTTATCCCCCTGCCCCAAAATCCCAACCATCCTCTTTCTTTGGGGTCTTGTGGGCTCTCCTTCCTGCCCCCTCCATGATGCCCCCCCCACTGCTGTTTTGTTGTGTGAACTGCAGCTAGTTTTGATTCCTTATCCAGATCTTCACCTCTTATTTTAACTCCAGGGGATGAGGGTGGGACCATTGGGATCTCATGGCTTTATTCGCTGGCATTTTCAAGGGTCACCCTTCCTCCTTGGGGGAAACAGTATGAAAATTCTTCTTATACAGCTCAAGCTTGTTCTCCCTTTCCACCAACCTCAACATACTTGGGGAGGGTGTTGGGTATGAGCAAGTTAGGGAGTGAGTCCTTATCCTCTCTAAACCAAGGAGGACCCTTCCTGGTTAAGTTTTCTCTCTGCCTTTGTCTATTTCCTAAAGAGCTCCCTTACCTTTCTCTTGGCTGTGATGCTGGGTAAAGAATCTTCTTAAGCTCAACCAGATGGCTTGTTGAGGAATTTCTTGGATCAGAGATTGAGGAGGCACTGTTGTTTAAGTCTGTATGCCTCCTGACCCATTTGTGGGCTCTCTGAGCTCCCATAATCATCTCTTAACATGGATAGCACCTTTATTGGGCTAGCTATGGAAAGATACTTCTTCCAGCTCCCTCCTGAATGCTGAAGGCTAGACTTCCTAGGGTTTTTTCAATTGGCAAAGACAGCTGGGCCGGGCCAGAGAATTCCACTGGGGAGCAACCTTCCCCCTCTCTTAGGCTCCCTGACCAGATGTTAAGAATCACATGAAATAACAAATTACCAGTGTCAAGCAGAGAGGCGGTATCACTGAGTGGAAATCAGACCTGGGTTCAAGTTCCTTTTCTGCCTCCTATTTGCTATATGATTTTGGGCAAGCTGCTTCCTTTTTCTGAGCCTCAGTTTCCCCATGAGTGGGGACAGATGGGCAGGGCTGATTATCTATCTGACTTTCTTTGGGATTTGGTTGTTTCAAAGAGAAGGTGAGCACTAACTAGCCAGGGTGGACTATGATTGGTGGTAAGGGTAGAAATGTTTGTTTTCCCTCACCATCCCCCACAAAAAAATAAATCATAAACAGACCCCTTCCTCTTTGTGAATAAAAAAAAAATCAACAGCTTTCTGGCCCTCTCTTCCCCAACCACCACTCCTTTGGTAGCACTATCACCCATAGAAAGAGAGGGAGGCAGCTAATAGGCATGCCTTCTTGCCTCTTATTTCAAACTCTCATTACCTTTTACATTTTCCTCTTGTGGACTATATCCACCCAAGTAATTGACCCATGACAAACTAACCTTTAGCAGGTGGGTCCTTTCTTCATGTTATAGGGGTCAGCTGATGTGGGTACTATATACCAATGCAGTGTTTGATGAAACCTAAAAAAGTCCCTGATAACTGTAAGTATTTCCTGGTGAATTGGGGGAAGGGGAGGGAATATGCATTTATATAGCACCTACTATGTGTCAGACACTGTGCCGAGTGCTTTACAAATAATATTTCATTTGAATTAAGATTTCCTTTGGATACAATGTCCCCTCTCTGTTCCACCTCAGACTAAATTTGGGATAAGTTTTTTGGAGTCTTTCAATGGCTACATAGAGATTAGGGCCATATATATGGCTTCTGAATGGCAAAGTTCAGAAAGGTCAGCCTCCATTGCTGCTCTCGAATTGTTCTTGTGAATAATACTGTGTTTTCCTCTTCTTCCCTCTTATGGAAGGAATTCTGTGTGTCTTGGCTCATCAGATGTAGTTTTTTGGAGGGGGGGGGTCATCTCATTCATGCCTTCTTACATAAGACCATTTTTGTGTCCAGTGAGACCTACTTGAGGTACCAGAGTTAGCACATGGAACCTTGAGAGTTGTGCTGCCCTTTCCTTAAGTGACCCCAGGCAAGTGGTTTCCTTTTTTTTTTTTTTCAATTCAGGTTCCCTATCTGTGAAGTGGGGATGATGCCAATCTACAGCATGCCTTAAAGGAGGTCATGCTGAGTATCAAAAATATTCCTGAACATTAGGATTAAGGATGAGTAGTGTGGAGTATGTCTCTAGAAGGCTCTCCATGCCCTCTTCCCTCTTGCTGTTAATGACATGTAGGTCCCACAAAGGCAGCATAGTGCTTTCCAAGAAGCCCATTCTTATCTTGCTGGTGGAGATGGAGGTCATTCATTATTTCCTTGCTACAGGTTGTATAGTAAAGGCCCATCTTGATGATAGATCCCCATAGAAAGCATCACTCCAGTCTTTCCCTATAATCTTCCACCTCCCCCCTCCATTCCCCCCCATTTAGCCTGGATCCTTTCTTTTGCAAGTCTCCTGGTCCACAAATCCTTTAAGGAATCTTTATTTAGTACCCCAGCCCCTGAAGGAATTCCTTTCACTTCCACTGTTTTTTTTCTGCATGATGCCTGGACCCATTTCAGAGCTGCTTCTCTGGGTCCTGGCTTCTTTGCTCACAAGTGACAGACATCTCTTCCAGTGATGCCCAGGTACCAGGAGGGAACCTTGAGCCTCCCAGGTGGGGAAGACAAGAGCCAATACCATGTGTTCTATCTAATCTGGCTGGGGACAAGAATTTTCAGATTCTGGGCTGTTCCCTGCTGTATCTGCTCCTACCCCCGCTGATCCTTAGCCCCTATCCCAGCCTTTGCCTCCCAACATGTCTGCTTCCTACTTTTTGTTGATGGTGACTTGTGAGAATTTCATAATTTTCTAGTGATTAAATATTTAACCATGCAGCATTTCAAATAATGTTAAGACAAATGTACACATCATTTATACTGACATCTCTTCCTTATGAAATGCTTTTAAGTTTGACAACAAACTTCCTTATGAGACAGATGTCAGTCTTTTCTTAAAGGGACACTGTCTCCTTATTCTAGGTGGTGGGTGCTCATACTCAGTAACTCCAGGCCTGGAACGGTTTCTTCCAGAAATCTGCCTCTACTGTTGACCTAGGAAAACCGAGTCTGAGTTTTAGAGCCGGACGCTGAGACCCATGTACACTCCCTGGTGGTAATAAGTAGTTACTACACCCACTTTTCCAGGGCTCTCCGTTCATCTTGGGGATATATAAGTTGGTCAGCCAGGTGATTTCTGCTGTTTTTTTTTGGACAAGGAAGCTAAGGGTTTGGGTGGGAAGGAGGCTTCGGTTTAAAAATGCTTTAGGCTTCTGGTTCCAGTTTTCCTACAATGTTTCTTTCAACTACTTCTTAACCCACCCCCAGATTTGCTACCGCTTCCCCCACCCACTCCTCACCCCAAGGGATGTCAGAATTAATTAGCTTATGGTCACTGTGATCTGAAGCCTTGCCCTTTTTTTTTTTAAAAGATATCTGCAGAATAATTCCAATGATCGATTTTTGAATGAATAAAGTTTTTGTTGAATAACACAGCTGGTCCCATCTTCTGTTGTATAGCCCTGGTCAGCCTCCCTACCTGTAGTGATGGTCCCTCAATAGGCCTGGTTGTTTTCTATTTTCTAGAGACGGGGTAAATTCAAGGTACCCTTCCCCTTCGTGGATTTTCTTCCCCACTTCTCTTCTTGGGAAACTAACATTGGCATCAGACTTGGGATCCTAGGCTCATCCTAGATTCATAAATCTGGAGCTGAAAGGACCTCGTGGGCCCTTTAGTCCAACCGCCTCATTTTCCATAGATGTCTTTCGTAGCTTTGACAGCTCACCCCACAGGGCAACAGCTTGAGAATATTTGGGTTCCAGCCCCAGCTTTGCCTACTAGCTTCCTGTATGACTGTAGGCAGGCACGTCACTCCCACTCTCTGTGACTCATCTGTCCAATGGCACCCACCAGTCCAGTCCCACCTACCTCACAGGGTTGTTGTGGGGGTCCACTGAGCTGAGATGATGGACAGGAGTGGACACTTTGCAAAGCTGAGAGTGACATGTAAATAGAGAGCATTATAAATTGTCATTGTTCCCCCACTTAGGAGTTTTGTCTTGTTTGGAAACAAATCAGGTGGCTCTTTAAGAGCAGCAAAGTTTCCTGGGGGTGCTGGGTTTTTCTTTCCTTTTTTTTTTTTTTTTGGTTGGCTTGCTTGCTAGTCTCTGCCTTCTTCCCTGCTGGAGATGCCTTTCTGCCTGGTGTGCATGTGTGTGTGTGTGTGTGTGTGTGTGTGTGTGTGTGTGTGTGTTGTGTCTGATGAAGATGAAAAGAGGATGTCATGGCCATGAGCTGTTTCCAGTACCTGTTGTTACAGGCTGCCAGATGTTACAGATGCTGGATAGTACAGGTGCCTGTGTGGGCCAAATTGCATGCCTCACCCCAACTGCCCCAAACCCTCCCCTGGTGCTCTGTGTTGTATGTTGTCAGTGTCGCACCAATTAAACACACTACCTGGACTGTCCTCTCTTTTCCCTTTGTGTGGACCTGTTGCCTTTGCCTTCTCTTTTTATGTTGTTTTCATTTTGATGTTTTTAAAGGTCTTTTTTTGTGTGTGTTTTTTTTTCCTCCCTTTCTTTCTCATGAAATCTTTCTCTGTTTCTTGGGATATTGTTTGGGTCCAAGTAGTTTCCTTCAAAAGAGAACCTGTGGATCGAGAGAAGCCAGATGCTAAATGTCTGCCTGGGTATAGAAGGAGATGGAATGGACAGAATCCTGGCTCTACTATTTGTTACCTGTGTGAGCTTGTTAGTCAGTTTAACTCTGGGCCTCAGTTTCCTTATCAGTAAAATGAGAGGGTTGGATGAGATGATCTGTACTGTAGCATGACAGGACACTGGAAACCATGTCCGCTGGCGGACAGAAACCCCCACCAGCCTAGCACCACTACCCCAAATCTCTACCACAATGATATGACCCCAGAATATTTACCAAACTGCAGGGAAAGAATATCCTTACCACACTTTGTGGGATGTTGACATGTCCCATAGTCCACAGTGGTTTGTTCATTATTAGAGTGAAGATGGTAATTGGATAGGCTCCTTTCAGCTTGACTCCCCCATTTTCCCTCTTGGTTTTGGGGTGAGCCCGAGAGTTGAGCTTTATCCTTCGCCGCAGAGGATGGAAGCCAGGATTTCAGAGGTGCCAACTCGGTCTTTCTCTCCCTCCTCAAGGCCACATATCTTTCTTTTGGATCTGTGGTTTGCTCAGCCCTGTGCTAATATAGGCCCTGATGAAGCCACAAACCAATGTGGCCCTGTCAATGTGGCCCAACTATCAATCTTATTGGGATGTAAGATACACCCATGAGTGAACAATGACAGCTAAATTGTATGGTACATATAAGGTTGGCTCTGGTCACAATTTTCTTGCTTTGGACCAAAGATCTAAGGGTGAATGTCTCCCTGGGACAACTGAACCAGTCTCTGAAGGTCAAAGATCTTGCATCTGAATAAGCTAGAATCGAATAGAGATTTAACCCTCGGTACAGCCCCATTCCTAGTCACCTGGATCTCCACTTCCTTTTTTTGGAGGAAGAACACTCCAGAGTACCACACCCTGAACTTGTGTGAATGAGTGAGTGTGTGTGTGTGTGTGTGTGTGTGTGTGTGTGTGTGTGTGAGAGAGAGAGAGAGAGAGAGAGTACCTAGAGGGAAGGAGAAAAGCAAGGTTTTGGTATTAACACCTCTCAGTTGCCAGAAGTTCCCATTTTCCGTGGGCAAAAGGCTAAGCTGCTCAAGACCAGGAGCCTATATGCTACCAGGCTCTTAATGAGACCGGGGGGGGGGGGGGGGGGAAGAAGGCATTTCAGGCTCCATCAACTCCAGACACAACTCCTACCCCATTCTTTGTTTGATTAATCACCTGGGCAGTCACAGTAAAGGCCCTTTTCTAACATGGAAAGGGCTGTGAAGATCCCCTATGTGGATGGCCATATATATACTTGCCCTGGGTGAAGAATCTTTGTTCTGTTTTAAAATTTTTTTTCCAAAAACTAAGCTTGTCAAAAATTTGTCAGAGAAAAAGAGAGCCCAGTGTTATCTCACAAATCTTACTCTGATAATAAAGGCTTAAGAAGACAGACTTCATGGTTTTTACACAATGAGTGAAATATTTGTGAGCTAGGAGGTGACTAACAGAGTACAACTGTCTCTGCTTCTATCAAGAGTTGGGGAATCTGTGCAAAATAAAAGGGTTAAGGTAGCATGGTGGAGTGAATAGTGGTCTCAGAGTCAGAAGACTTGGGTTCAAGCCTTAACTCTGATACATGATTGAATCAACCTCTTGAGTATCCCAAGCAACCCTCTCATGCTATGGTTGCAAGAGCAGACGCAGATCTGCATTGGTAGAGGGAATTTTTTTCACTGAAAATTGCTTAAATCAATGAAATCACAGATCTTGTATCCCTCCACCCAAAATAAACAAATTAATAAATAGATAAAAGGAGCTACATGGCTTCCATAAACTAGCTTCCCTAGGACTGGTGGGTATTTAGCAAAGCCTATGATTTCCAGTGGCTTCCAAATAGTGAGGTTATTCCAGGGGTATTAGAGCTCTATCGAAAGAATATCAGTGGGTGCCAACACTATTGTTGCTATAAGTAGAGGATGGGGTTTAGCTATTCATTCAACAGTCATTTATGAAGCCCCTACTGTGTGTTTAGATAAAATATGGTCCTGTTCTATTAGAGGGTTGATACTGTTCTCTTAAAGAGGACTCCAAATGGTCCCAGGAAATAAGAAAAACTTTGGAAATTGAAATAGCTGTAGGGTTCTGGGAGGTAGCTGGGCTTCAAGGACCAGGAAGAGTTGGGGGGGAGGGCTTGTGAAAGACCAATGACAAGGAGGGTTCATTCAGGGGATCAGGCTCTAGGGGGCGCCAGATACTCAAAGAATGCCATCTCAGTCCTGGCCCTAGGAAAGCTGTGTCAGATCCCTGGGCAAATCCCAGGGAAATTTCTTTAGGAACCCAATGGGGCCAACCCAATTCCCTGGCCACTTTCTAGCAGTATGGGGCTCCCCCCAAATAATCTTGATCTTTAAATCTGGGGAATAGCTGTTGGTGCTTAAGAGTTTAGACAGAGGTCCATAGATTTAGAACTAGAAAGGACCTTCAAGGCAATTTAGTCCAAACCTCCACATTTTGAGTTAAGTATGGCATTTGAGCCCAGCCACAGTTCAAAGTGGAAGAGGAATTAGGATGCTGGTGGGATTTGAACCCAGGCCTTCCTGACTTAAAGTCCAAGCATTCCTGCCACTATCTTCGTTTATAAAGTGCTTACCTCAGTGCCTCATATACAGTATGTGCTTACTACAATCCTTGTTCCTTTTCTCTCATTCCCTTCTTGTTAGGGCTGGAATGAACCTTAGAATATAGAATGTTAATTTTGTCATTTAAACTGGAATGACATTGGTTGGGGAACAGAAACAAGAAATAAAATGAACCCGAGGTAGAGAAGGAAATTTGGGAAAATCAATGTGAAAAACTTAAGGTGTAATGGAATAGTAGGAGAAAGATTACTTGACTGAGTCATTTTTGCCTTTGACATTAAACACAGTGACATCAGATAAGTATTTTCCTTTCTGAGGCCTCAGTTTCCCCATCTCTAAAATGGAGGAGAAGAGAGGTGATTTTTAAGGTCCCTTCCAGCTTAATGTCCTATGGAGATTCACTAAATAGATTGGTTAGGCTTTGATTCTGTACTCCTCAGTCCTGGGTCCAGCAATTTGCTTGACCTTGTCTCTTTAGCTATAAGGATATGAGGCCAGCCAGATGCAGCTCTTCTAAATTATAGATCTAAGAGACCAGAGTCAACAGAGCTATCTGGGACAAGGAGACAGCTATCATGTGGAAAGTCAAAGGTCTCTTTCAGTGCAACGGCCAGACAGACAGTATTTTCTGAAGCAAACAGGCGGCATGTGAAGGAACAAATGATTCCACTGAGACAATCTCTTAGGAAATGGGAAAATTTTTTTTGCGTTATTTAGAGCCCAAAAATGTGGGGCTCCCAGGCGGCTGGAAAAGACAAAATGATGGGGCTGGGAAGTGATTGATGAAGCTCAGTTGTGTTTTTCTGTCTGATTCCTTTGTTTGTGGACTTCCAACCTCATCATGTCTCCTCTTGGCCTGACTGAGGCTACATTCTTCCTTCTGCACCAAACAACTACAGGGACAAGCTCCGGAGCAACAGCAGCCTGGACATCAGAAAAAAAAAATTGAATTTATGGGACCATGTTATCTAGAAAGGCTCCCTTTCATTGGTCTCATGAGGAACTTTGTGCCAAGATGGAGTTCTCTCACACTGTTCATCTGAAGATAATAATAATAATAGCTAGCTTTTATATAAATGCTAAGGTTTGCAAAGTGCTTTACATTATTATCTTATTGGATCCTCACAACAACTCTATGAACTAGGTACTATTATTATACCCATTTTACAGGTGAGGACACTGGGAGATTAAGTGACTTTCCCAGGGTTACACAGCTAGTAAGTGTCTGAAGAAGAATTAGAAGTTAGGTCTTCGTCATTCAAAATGCAGCATTCTATCCACTATGTCACTTAGCTGCCTTAATAATAATTAATGGATGATAAATAATCATAGTCCATGTGGCTTGGAGAATCAGGAGAACTGCTTAATTAGAGTTCTCCTGATCCACTTCAGATTATAGGGTGTGTACCTTTATCCACACAAATGTGGGCACCTCTCATGGTGTTGAGACTACACTATGTAATGTATACTACATGTAGTCCACCATGTAGTGTACATGCATGCATGTACATTAACATTGCTAGTAAGAGTGAGGATCCTTTTCCCCCTTGCTAGAAATCTAAGGCAAAGAAAGCTCCTTACAAGGAAGAAAGCTTCCAAAGAGAGTGAAGCCTTATTCTTAACCCTTTTTGTGTGTGTCCTTGGACTCTTGGAAGTCTGTTGAAGCCTATGGGACCCCTTCTCAGAATAACGTTTTTAAACTGACTAATATAAAATACATAGGATTACAAAGGAAAGCAGTTGTGTTGAAATACAGTTATCAAAATATTAAAAAACCAAATTCATGGACACCAGGTAAGAACCAGGTAAGAAGGAGATAGGTTCCTACATGAAGAGCCTGTCTCCTATCTTCTACACACAACCTCCTCCCTTCCCACCCTAATCACTGGCAACTAATCAAGATTTCCCTGTGTCATTCCAGCAAGCTGATCAGACACATGTCCATCTCCATGTTAAGTGCCTACCTTTGTGAGGACAAAAA